CCACCTACAATCAGTGAGTCGAAATAGTGTTTCGAGATCACGATCACATTGAATGAGCCTACAGGGTCACACACGAAGGGTTGGAATGTAAAAACTGACAAAGTGAAGTTTGAAACAAAATGTTTGTTGAACTCGATCGAGTAAGTGTAACTCGTCCGAATTTGGTCAAATTCGGTTGAATTAATGTAATTTAATCGAAACATAAAACGGTATGGAAATTCGGTCGAATTCGGTGTGGTGAATAGTAACCGTGAATAGTGTCGGTGAATAGTAACCGAACAAAAATCCCACATCGAAAATTCTACCCATTTTCAAGGGTTTTGAGTTCTATATAAGGGGAGCTTGGCCAAAGACTTCAACACACCAAGTCCTAAGTCCTATAGGGGATCTAGAGAGCTTTAAGAAGTCTAAACGACCATAAGCTCTCAGGAACCTCTCCGGACTAGCGACTGATTTTAGGCCCTAGCAGGCCAGATCCAATTGTTGGATCCAACCCGCGGTGTGGATACCGTAGAGGTCGTTGCCCTTTGTGACGACTCTCAGTGGCTGTTTTGCCCATCGCCGTTTGGCTCCGTCTCGCCTTTGAGGTCAGTATCTCTCTTTGAGATCTTTATTATTCGTTTTTGTTTATTATTACATTTATGCACGATGCTTAGTGTTTTCCTATTCTAGGATTAATTAAATTATGAATTTAATTTCCGCTGCGCTTAGATCCTAGAACTAGGTTAGTGTCAGGTTGGGAACCGTGGCACTAGGCCTGGAAAAACCCAACACATTGTTCATCAAATGGCGACAAATGGCGAGACGTTGAAGGATGTTCGGGTCGTGGAGAAAATTTTGAGGTCCCTTGACTCAAAAATTGATTCTGTGGCCGTTGTGATTGAAGAATCGAAGGATCTAGATACGATGACGGTGGAAGAACTTCTTGGTTCTTTGAACACGTTTGAAGACAGATTGGATCGGAGAAAAGGAGAAGAAAAATCGGTTGAACATGCGCTAGAAACGAAGCTCTCTTTGAAGACCGAAAATTCTAGATGAGGTTATCAATATCAAAGAGGAAGAGGTGGTTATTACGAACGAGGTGGTCATAGAGCAAACTATCGGATGCCGACAAACAGTTAAAACGATGATGGAGAAAATAATATAAAGGAGTATGATCATGGGGAAGAGGTGGTCGAGGTCGAAGTTGGAACCGAGGCCTTGGTCGTGGATGTGGAAGAAATAATGGAGGAATGTATGATAAATCTTGGATTCAATGTCATACTTGCAAGAAATTTGGATATTATTCCTATGAATGTTGGCATAATCCCGATAATGATGGTGGAGAGAAAGTCAATATAGTCGACAAAGAAGACGGTGATACAGAAGAAGTATTGATGTTATCACAAAATTAAGTCGAATCAAGCATTGAGTCAGAACCATTTGTTACATGATATCTTGACACGGGAGCATCCAACCATATGTGCGGGAGAAAGGAGTTGTTACGAAACTGATCGAAAGGAACTTGGGCAATATCACATTTGGTGATCTTTCAAAGAGACCAATTCAAGGGAAAGGCGAAGTCACACTGATCTTCCCAAACAAGAGACAAGTTTGCATCTCGAATGTCTATTATGTTCCCGATATTAAGAGCAATTTGTTGAGTGTGGACCATTTGTTGGAGAAAGGTTTTGATGTAAGGTTAAAGAATATGTCTCTAACCATGCGAGACAAAAATAGTCAATTGATCACAACCGTGGAGATGACGAAAAACAGAATGTTTCCATTGAGACTGAGCTTTAATGAGTCGAGGTGTTTGAAGGTAACGACTCTAGATAATTCAACTTTGTGACATCTTCGATATGAGCATCTAAATTTTAAGGCATTAGAATTACTTCAGAAGAAGGATATGGTGATTGAGTTACCCAAGATTGCAACTCCTAACAATCTGTGTGAAGTTTGTGTTATGGGAAAGCAGCAAAGGAAGTCGTTTCCGACATACAAGTCATGGAGCGCAGCATGTCCCCTTGAGCTGGTGCATTCGGATGTTTGTGGACCCATCAATCCCACATCGAATGGAGGTAATCGATATTTCCTGACATTTACTGATGATTACAGTGCAAAGACATAGATCTATATGCTCAAGGAGAAAAGGGAAGTTTTACCAAATTCAAAGAGTTCAAGAGTATGGTGGAAAAACAAAGTGGATGTCCAATCAAGTACCTGCGGACTGATCATGGAGGAGAGTATACATCTAACGATTTTGAGAATTTTTGCAAGGAACACGGGATTTCTCATCAGCTCACTATGCCTCAAACACCACAGCAGAACGGAGTTTCGGAGAGGAAGAACAGGACTATACTGAATATGGTCCGATGTATACTTAATTCGAGAAAAGTCCCTAAGGAGTTTTGGAGAGATGTTATTGCATGTGCTATTTATTTGTTGAACAGATTTCCATTGAAGAAAATCAAAGACATGACACCGGAGGAAGCTTGAAGCTTACGGAAACCGAAGGTTGATCATCTCAAAATCTTCGGGTGTGTGGCGTATGCAAAAGTGCAGGAAGAAAGACGAACAAAGCTTGAGGATAAAGGTCAGAAATACATATTTTTGGGTTATGGTGAAAATTGCAGGGGATACAAGTTGTATAATCCCGACACTGGCAAAATCATAATGTCTCGATATGTTGAATTTGATGAGGAGAAGAGTTGGGATTGGAATGGTAGCAGTCAGTCGCAAAGGAACATTCTCGAAGAAGTTGAGGAAAATTCACTATCCCGAGTTATCCAAAACCGTTTTGATAACGGCGATTCTAGTAGCTCACCCGTGAGAAAGATGAAGAGCATTCAGGAGATTTATGATACAACTCAAACGATAGAATCCATGTTTGATGATGAGTTTACTAATTTTTGTCTATCTGTTAGATTTGAAGAAGTTACCAGGAAGAAGATGCGGATAAAGACCAAAGATACATTTAAATCTTTTCGGAAGAAGTTTGGAATCCAAGTTCGAAGAGGAACAAGTTTAAGGGGCCTAATGTTGGAGACTAAACTTGTTCCTAAGATTTGGTGATGTTGGAATGTGTGTTACTCTTGGAGTTTGTGTTTCTAGAATTCTGAAGAGATTTATTATATGCTAGACCAAATATTATTGTTTTTCTAGAATATTCTTAGGAACACTCTATATATATATATATAAGGTTTGAAATTTGTAAAATAACAACAAAAAAACATAAAAGAATAAAGAAATACAAAGGAGTATTTTGAATTTTTCTCCTCTTCTCTTTTCGTTCATATATATTTATAAAGTATAAAGAAAAAAGCCTAAAACTTACAGCCGTAATCCCAACGTGGCCTGTTGTTTTCCTCGGACACAACGTCTCTTCTTGAACTTCCATTAGGCATCTGTTCACCTGAGACGTTGTTTGGCTCTGCATACACCAAACTTAAGCCACAAATCACCACTTGGCATCCTTCCACTTCGCTTATACCATCATCTCTCACCACATTGAATTCAATCATTGCATTTTAGCATGCCAGAATCACGACGGATACGGAGTTGGAATCAAGCAAGAGGAAGTCTTTTTTTTTTTTGCTTTATAGAGAAAGGTGGAATCAACATGAAGAATGACTGCTTTCCTGTAATGTTATTTCTTCGCAGAAACTCTGATTCAGAAAAAGTACAAACTTTGGAAACTAAAGGATTTAATATTGTCGGAGTCAGAGACCCAGAAAACTGAAGCCGTAACCCCAACGCGGCCTGTTGTTTTCCTCGGACACAACGTCTCTTCTTGAACTTCCATTAGGGTTCTGTTCACATGAGACGTTGTTTGGCTCTGCATACACCAAACTTAAGCCACAGTTCACCACTTGGCATCCTTCCACTTCGCTTGTACCATCATCTCTCACCACATTGAATTCAATCACTGCCTCTGTAGGAACGCATTTGCGAGAGTGCTTCTCTCTGAGACTTGTTCCGATATTCAAGCAACACGTGTGGCCCATAAAGATGTGGTCGGACTCCATCTCGAGCCCCTCGCCGGGTGGTTGGATCCAGCCCCCAAGAGTGGAACGGAAGACGATACAGGACCCGTCTTCGTTTTTGAACTTACAGTTGCATTCCACAGAGATACGGTTGACTTGATTGCGAGGTTGCTGAAATGAAACAACGGCGCACAAAGCTACTGCAGTAAGCCTGCCGTCGCACCAATGTGGGGGTAGCTTCGGTTCTAACACTGACCCGACCGCTTGGTGAGAGAACCATGAAGGTATTTCACATCCAGGAAAGCTAGAGCGGAACAGAGACTTCGATACAACACCCTGCAAAAGTTATGCCAGAAAAGGAAAAGCATAAAATTTTGTTAACTGAGATTCCTTGAAAGAGATGAAGTTTAAGAGAGAGAGAGAGAAAGAGGGAGAGACCCCATCATGGCATTTAAGTGCATCTAACTGGCTTCTTCTTTGAGCGTAGGATGATATACTATACTTTGCAGCTTGCTCCAGATTGTTGCAGTTTGTAAAGATGAAGGTGGAAGGGATCTGCTCAGTGGGCGCGAGAAGGAGATTGATCCAAAAGGAGAGGCCATTTCTGTGGAAAGAGGGGAGTGTGATCCCCAAGGAGCGGAAGCTTGTGAAGAGGATGATTTTGGAAAGCAACTGTAACACACGGCTAAATCACTCCTTTTTTATATATTACATTAAATATATCACTTCTTTTTTATATGTTTATTTATATATATATATATATATATATATATATATATATAGGTAATCGAATAGAATAAATAAAGGAAGAAGATTAGAAGAAAACAAAATTTTATAAGGGAAACGATATTTGACAATTAATATTTGGTTTTATAATTTTCATACAAAAAAAAATATTTGGTTTTATAATTGACTTATATCTCTAATTTAAATCAATCATCTCTACTTTTATTAGCAGCAGATCATGCATCCCTCTACCCGGCCACCAGATATACTGATGAGGAAATTGTCGGCGAGAACTCTTACGTCACTCTCAGCATCACAAGAATCCAGTAAACTGCAGCAGCAATTTCTTCTCACTCCATTTGCCTCAAAAGTGTTTTCTGGATTTGCAGCAGTAGCAAGTAGCTCAAGAGGATCTCCAACCAGCCCGAGAGTTCAGTAGGATTAAGTGGATCTTGAACTATGAATTCTGAATATCTCTCCTGTATATATATATATTTCCATAGAGTTGCCGTTGAAGTTCCGATTTAGTAGCTTCCCGCTTGCGTAGTATCAGCACCAGGATCACTAATGGCTCAAATCCTAGTTTTCCAAGAGAAACAAATGAACAAATGATTAAGCCAAGATGGAAGTTTAGCAGCCAACTCAATGGGATTGCCAGTATGAGTATCAGATCATCTCACCTTTTCAATGTTTTGGAAACTAGACACCTGCCTTCGCTTCCTTTTCCTTATCTCCAGGATGATCGTTTCAATAACCCTCCTCAACCGAACTCTCTTATACCGTGAAATTACTTCCTCACCGTCACAAAGTTCCCCCGGATCCATGGAGGAGGCAGCTCGCTTCTTGCTAGGGCTAGTATCTCCAGTCAGAGCAGTAACGTTATAGACTCCACATTGTGTTACCTTGCAGCTATCATGAAGAGACGTATTCTGCCCATCCACTGGACAGAGCTCAAACTCAATTCGATCATCCATTATATCATCACCTGGATGCAATGTAACATCGTAGAAAGCAAACGTATGATCCCTTTGGAGCTTCTGTGCAGTTTCCCTAGGTTCCCAAAACCGGAAGATTCTCTCAAGTCTATGAGAGATGCCATTTTTGGTTCTCCACCTGCATACACACCTGATGCCAAAACCAGTAGCAGCCGAGTAAGCATCCGAAAGTGAAACTGAAACCGATAGAACAAAGCCTAAGAGAGTCATTCTCCGCGATGTTAGCTGCGTTATTATGGGGGAACTTGTCCAAGTCGATGTTTTGGGTATTCCTCTTACAGATGTGGGCACACAGATGCTGAATGCAGGTGAGTCGATGAGTGCCTGTTCCGACAAGGTAAAACAAAACCAGAATGAGAAGCATGCTGTTACGATCTAGGACCTTGGATAAAGTTTTTTTCCAGGCCCATTCCAACTCGTTTTCTTTTTCCTATTTTCTTTTCTTACCAGACTAGAATTCCTTCTCTTAACAGCTTATTTTAATCCAGCATTTTTTAACTTTTTGCTCTACTTTTGCTTTGGAGATCTCAGGTCATGCCGCATGCTCTAGAGTGTGTGTGTGTGTGTCTGTGTGTGTGTGTGAGAGAGAGAGAGAGAGAGAGAGAGAGAGAGAGAGGTACCTGATGATGTTCTCCGGCCATGTCTACAACACTTTTTAGAGCTTTTGCTACAAGTTCTCTGACCACTTCTTGTGACAGATCAAAGCAATTACTGAATATACAGAGTCTAGGAATCTGTTCGAAACACCACTTAATAGACTCCAAAGACGTACAACCATGCATGTCCAAGAGTTCTAGGCTTCGAGGAAGTTCTGGAAGTGACGCAAGATTTTTGCAACGGTGTAACCTGATGCTGAGTAGTTTGGAGAGCATCTTGACGCTTTCAGGGAGTTTTGTGAAACCATTTCCACTAAGATCCAACGCCTTTAAGGAAGGCATACAGAATATCTCTGAAGGTATGTCCTGCAAGCATGCATTATACAGGGACAAAGACACTACGGCGTACAGTCTTGATGCCAAGGAGTACAAAATTGATGAGGGCAGCTTTCCGAGACTGTACAGAGACAGGTTGGAGGATCCTTGAATTGATGAAAACTTGTATGCTTCTTCTGCAGAACTGTAAGTCAAACATGTCTCGGGAGTCTCTGATCTGGGGAGCGAAGTAGGAGAGCTCAGAAGGTTTTCAGAGCCATCCAACCTTGATCCTCGAATAGCAGGGACATATGAGACAAAGGGAGCAGATTTTTCCACGGTTTTCTTCTTTAAATCAAGATGTCGCGAGCCTCTTAGATATAGTGGATCAAGATATGGAAGGCTCTCCAGGCTTGAGCAGCCAGATAGCTTAAGCGTCCCAAGAGATTTCAAGTTACTCATTCCCATCGTCAGGTGTCGAAGCATTTTGCAGTGTTCCAAATCAAGTATCGTAAGTTCAGTGAGATTCTCGATCGATGATGGCACCTCTCTTATGGCAGTCCTAGCAAGATATAACTCTTTCAGGTTTGGTGAGAAATCCTGAATATTCTCGAGGTCTGAGCAGCCAGACATATTAAGAACTTCGAGAGATTTTAAATGAACTATGCCAGGCAAACTTCGCAAACGAGTACAGTCTTTCAGATTCAACAAAACCAGCTTGCCGAGATGATGAATTGATGAGCTGACTTTAACCAGATTCGTACATCCTTCAAGATCAATATGCTCTAGGTTCAAGGCCTTTGAAAGCCTCGGGATTTTAGCTAATTGACGAGAGTGACTCAGTCTGATCTTCTTCAGCTTCTCAAGATTCTGTGTAAAACCATGGATAACAAAAATGAGTCATCAGGCCCAAAGCTTATTAACTGATGCATGTAGCTCATAATACCATAATGTGAAAACATACCTTTGTCCCTTTCCATAGCTTCTCCATATTGCTATAAGGCATGTTTAGCTCTACAAGATTCTTAGGATTAAAATCCCGAGGCAAGGATTTCAGAGGGTAGTTCTCCCAATGAAGTAGCCTTAGCTCATCAGGTAAAGAGTTCAGGCCTTGAGGCAGATGAAGTTTGCACTGGTTTTCAGTAGTGGAACAATAAAACTTCAGCAACCTAAGCCTGTAAACATTCTGGAGAGCACTTGGACTCAATTCACACATTAGGTCAGAGGCATCCAGAAAGATGCCTTCAATTGCCGCTGTCCCCTGATGAGAAAGAGAAAAAGAAAGAGGTATTTATCGGCTGTCACCACTGAAATAATCTAAAAGGTGTGCTAGGTTTCAAACTGAAAGAAGACATCTCCATAAACTTACTTTGTTGTTTGTTAATACATCAGCAATGTCTTTAGCATCCCACAGTCTGCTACGCTTTCCTGGCTCTTCGTTTTCTTCGTGAACAACAAACCGACCCATATCCTGAAAAACATTGGCCATTTCTATCCTATTGTCTACAAGGCTAATGAGAGACTCGTCAATGAGCCCACAGATTCCTAAATCTGTAAAGAAACCGCACCCATCAAGCATTTGGACGACGTAATCTTTATTCTCCCCTCTTAAAAAGCATGCCAGATCCAAAAATATGTTCTTCTCGTTATCATCTAGTCCATCAAAGCTTCTCCGAAATGCATCCTGAACCTCAGTTGGAGGATGTCGCCGCAGTATTTGCAGAAGACCTTTCTCATGAATCTGATGTTTTTTCAAAGATGAACCTAACGCTATAAGAACTAATGGAACGCCACTAGCGTAGTTCACCAGCCCCGGGATCAATGATGTCATTCCTTTCCTATATTTTTTAATGGCATACCGGGAAAAAAATTCAAAGGAGTCGGACTTGGATAATTTCTGCATCTCATATGGCTCTTTGACCTTACACTGAACAAGAACTTGTCTGTTCCTAGAGGTTAAGATGATTGTATGTCCTCCCGAAAACCAGCCAAACCCTCCAACTAAGGCTTCTGCATCTTTAGCATTACTTGTTGTTAGATGGTTCAAGATCTAAGCATGGTAGCGGGTGAAGACATTTTGAAGTGAAGAAGAGGAGCTGGAATTTTCTGGAATAGACAGGTGTTGAAGAGCAGTTGAGAGTGGTTATGCATTGTACAAGTGTCAAAGAGCAGGTAAGAGTGGTTATGAATTGTACATGTGGGTTGTTGTGTTTCAGATTTTTTGAAAACTCCTGCACTAACCTTTTAGATTTTTTTTGATGTTGTATTTAAGTGGTTCTACGTCTTGATTTTTGGATATATGGAAAAGGAGAAGTTCCAGATTTGATCCTCTGTTCTTGTTCTAAGAATAGAGTGTTGGTGTTTAGGTTTCTGTTAATGTTCAAGCTAAGAGGGTTTTGAAAACACTCTCCAAAGAACTTTGACAGATCTTCAGTGGTATCAGAGCTTTTGTTAGATCTTGAAGGGATCTGTGTATTGTGGAAATGGAGCACAATGAAGGTTCTAGTTTGTTACCCAATCCATCTCTCTCGGCGCCTATATTTGATGAGGAGAATTATCAGATTTGGTCTGTAAAAATGAAGGCTTTTCTAAGAGGAGCAGATCTGTGGGAAGCTGTGGAAAGTGATTATGAGGTTCCACCATTGGGAGGCAATCCTACTCTGAATCAAATAAGGGCTCATCGAGAAAAGGTAACTCGCAAAGCAAAGGCTTTGTCTTGTCTTTTCTCTTGTGTCTCTACTTCAGTTTTCACAAAGATCATGCAGCTTGAATCAGCAAAAGATGTTTGGGATTTTCTGAAGAATGAGTATGAGGGAGATGAGAAAATAAGAGGAATGAAAGTGTTAAATCTGATGAGAGAGTTTGAAAGGCAGCATATGAAAGCAAGTGAATCTGTGAAAAATTATGTGGATAGGTTGGTATCTATTGTCAACAAGATAAGGATTCTGGGAACTCAAGTTTCAGATGAAAGGTTGGTACAGAAAGTGATGGTTTCTGTACCTGAGCGTTATGAAGCAACTTTGGCCTCGCTTGAAAACACTAAGGAAATTTCAGAAATTAAACTTCCTGAACTGCTTAGTGCTTTGCAGGCGCAGGAGCAAAGAAGATTAATGAGGAAAGAGGAATCAACTGAAGGAGCTTTGAAGGCTAAGGCCAAGGGTAATGCTGCAGAGAAAGGGAAGAAAGCTGCTCAGAATCAGAAGTCTGATGGCTCGAGTGGTCAGAATGATGGTAAGGAAACCAGTGGGAATAAGTCTTTTCTCGATCCCTGCAAGCATTGCAATAAGAAGGGGCATCCTCATTGGAGGTGCTGGAAGAATTTAAAGTGCAGGAGGTGTGACAAAGTGGGTCACATTGAAAGGTTTTGCAGGTTTAATGCTGCACAACAAACAGAGGTTGTTAAAGCTGATGCAAAAGAGATGGAGCAATTGTTTGTGGCTTCATGTTTTGCTGCACATGGAGCTGATGATGAATGGCTGATTGATAGTGGTTGTACAAACCATATGTCAGGTAATCTTGATCTATTTCAAACTCTAGATAAATCTGTTAAGTCTAGAGTTAGAATAGGCAATGGTGATTTCATCTCTGTTGAAGGAAAAGGTGATGTTTTGTGCAAAGGTCCAAATGGTTGTAGGATACTTACAGATGTGTTGTTTGTGCCAAAAATTGATCAGAACCTTCTGAGTGTTGGGCAGTTGATGGAAAAAGGTTATAAGTTGATGTTTGACAGAAATGAGTGTGTGATCATGGATGTTGCAGACACTATTCTGTTCAGGGTCAAAATGAAGAATAAAAGTTTCATTTTCAATCCTCAACACTTTGGTGTCAATGCAATGAAGGCTGATATTTCAGAAACGGAAATTTGGCATAAGAGACTAGGACATTATCACTTTGATGGTCTGGTCCTTATGCAAAAACATGGGTTGGTTTCTGGTTTACCAGATTTCAACAAGAATTTCGGTGAATGTGGTATTTGTGCAGAAGGGAAGCAAGTTCGTCTTCCTTTTGGAAAGTCAAATTGGAGAGCTGAGCACAAGTTACAGTTAATTCATACTGATGTTTGTGGACCAATGTCAGTAGAATCTCTTACCGGTAGCAAATATTTTGTTATCTTCATTGATGATCTAACCAGGATGTGTTGGATCTACTTTCTGAAGGAGAAGTCTGAGGTTTCTGATGTGTTTGAGAAATTCAAGAGGGAAGTTGAGAATCAAACAAGAGAAAAGATTAAAGTTTTGAGATCAGATAATGGAGGTGAGTATACCTCAAAGAAGTTCAGAGAAATTTGTGAGTCTGCTGGTATAAAACATCAGTTTACAGTGCCTTACTCACCTCAACAAAATGGGGTTAGTGAGAGGAAGAATAGGAGCATTATGGAGATGGCAAGATGTCTTATGTTTGAGAAGAATCTACCAAAACGGTTTTGGGCAGAAGCTGCAAATACTGCAGTCTTTCTTCAGAACAGAGTGATGACAAGGGCTTTGGAGAAGAAGACACCATTTGAGGCCTGGACTGGAAGAAAACCGTCCTTGGCTAATCTCAAGGTGTTTGGGTGTGTATGTCACTCTTTAGTACCAGCTTTTAAGAGGGATAAATTGGATAAGAAAACAGTTGAAGGAATATTTGTTGGATACAGCCTTGTATCCAAGGCATATAGAGTCTATTCTCCAGAGTTTAACAAAGTTTTTATCAGCAGAGATGTTAAGTTTATGGAGACCAAAAGTTGGAAATGGTCTGACCAAGATAATGTCGTGGTTGACCAAGAAGAAGAGAATATGTTTGAGGAAACTCAGGAGGAGTTACCTCAACTAACAGATGAGGTTTCTGCAGGAGATGATCTGGATGATCAACCTGTTAGAGGAATCAGAACTTTAGACGATATTTATGAGAGGTGTAACCTGTCTGTTTTGGAACCTTCAAGCTTTGAGGAGGCTTGGAAGGATGAGAAGTGGAGATCAGCAATGCTGGAGGAGTTACAAATGATTAAGAAGAATGAAACTTGGGAACTTGTTGAGAAACCAGAAAACAGAGAAGCTATTGGTGTTAAGTGGGTTTATAAGACCAAGATAAACCCAGATGGTTCTGTAAACAAGTATAAAGCCAGATTAGTTGTGAAGGGATATGCTCAAATATGGGGTGTGGATTTTTCAGAGACATTTGCTCCTGTTGCAAGGCTTGATACAATCAGGTTTTTGCTGGCTATTGCTACTCAGAAAAGATGGAAAGTGTTTCATTTAGATGTGAAATCTGCATTTTTAAATGGAGATTTGAGTGAAGAGATTTATGTGGAGCAACCAAGTGGTTTTGTGGTTAATGGCAGAGAAGATTGTGTGTATAGGTTAAAGAAAGCTCTTTATGGCCTTAAACAGGCACCAAGAGCATGGTATTCAAAGATTGATGGGTATTTGCTGGAAATTGGGTTTAAAAGAAGCTTGAGTGAAGTGACTTTGTATGTGAAGAAAAGTCAACAGGTTACCACGGTCATTTCACTTTATGTGGATGATTTGTTGGTTACTGGTTCATGTATTTCCAGCATTGAGAAAGTTAAGAAGGAGTTGATGGCTGTTTTCGAGATGTCTGATCTTGGACTCATGTCTTTCTTTCTCGGGTTGGAAATAAAGCAGACTGAGGGAGAGACATTTCTTTTCCAAAAGAAGTATCTCACGGAGATATTGAAAAAGTTTAGATTCAATGAGTGCAAGAGTGTGAGGACACCAATGTGTGTGAAAGAAAAACTGGTGAATGATGAGAATGAAGAGCTTGTGGATGAACGAACCTATAGAAGCCTTGTTGGTTGCTTGATGTATCTGACAGCATCTCGGCCAGACATTTTGTTTGCGGTTAACAACCTTTCAAGGTTCTTGAATGGTCCAAGGAAAAGTCATATGGTGGCAGCAAAACGCATATTAAGATACTTGAAAGGAACTCGTGATTTAGGAGTTCTGTTCAGATGTGAGGATGATGCAGATTTGATTGGGTTTGCGGATAGTGATTGGGCTGGTTCAAGTGAAGATATGAGGAGCACTACTGGTTTTTGTTTCTCGTATGGTTCAGCTTGTTTCAGTTGGTGTTCGAAGAAGCAAGAGGTCGTGGCACAATCAACTGCAGAGGCGGAATTCATAGCTACCACTGCAGCAGCAAATCAAGCTATATGGCTCAGAAAAATTCTGACAGATTTGGGACTGAAGTCAAAAGATTCAACCCAAATTCATGTTGATAATCAGGCAGCTATTGCTATTTCACAAAATGCAGTCTTTCATGGAAGGACTAAGCATTTTAAGGTTAAATTCTTCTATCTGAGAGAAGTTCAGCAAGAAGGAGAAATCAAGGTGGTTTATTGCAGGACCGAAAATCAGATTGCAGATATTTTTACTAAGGGATTTAATCCTGCAAGGTTTGAGAAGTTGAGAGATATGATCGGAATGTGTGCTAGACCTTGATCCAAGGAGGAGTTTGTTGTTAGATGGTTCAAGATCTAAGCATGGTAGCGGGTGAAGACATTTTGAAGTGAAGAAGAGGAGCTGGAATTTTCTGGAATAGACAGGTGTTGAAGAGCAGTTGAGAGTGGTTATGCATTGTACAAGTGTCAAAGAGCAGGTAAGAGTGGTTATGAATTGTACATGTGGGTTGTTGTGTTTCAGATTTTTTGAAAACTCCTGCACTAACCTTTTAGATTTTTTTGATGTTGTATTTAAGTGGTTCTACGTCTTGATTTTTGGATATATGGAAAAGGAGAAGTTCCAGATTTGATCCTCTGTTCTTGTTCTAAGAATAGAGTGTTGGTGTTTAGGTTTCTGTTAATGTTCAAGCTAAGAGGGTTTTGAAAACACTCTCCAAAGAACTTTGACAGATCTTCATTACTCACATCATCAAGAACAACGAGAACCTTTTTACCGAGCAACCTGTCCCGTACGAAGCCTGGCTTGGTATCATGAGCATCTATAGGACGTTT